ATGTGACACATGGGGGTAGGGCACACAGCGAGGCACAGGGCGGTGGGCACACAGGTGCAGGACACACAGTGAGCCTGCACAGGGCATCAGGCACACAGGGCAGGGTCCGGCCAGGAGTGTGACAGAGACTCTCCAACAGGCATCTGCGATTCCCGCGCCCTTGAAGGCTGGGGTTGGCAGAGTACAAGGCAAGTGCCCTACCCTCTGCACCATCTCTCAGGCCCCTAGTGAAGCATTTAGTGAGGTAAGTACTGATACCTACAGTATACTTTGAAATGTACTCCAAAGTAAGAGTAAGTGATAGGTTAGCTAAGTTTACACACAGTAAAATTCTTCCCAAAAGACTGTGCAAGCAAAAAACATTTTGAAAACAAGTTAACAAACAGGGGGGAGGGGGAAATATCCCCCAAAGCAGTGAGTGCTGGGCTAGGAGACAGGTCAAAGGGCAGAGCACATACTTCATGGGGGGAGCTCGACCCCACAATGCCCCCCATCATGTGGTCCCCCGAGCACTGAAGGGAGCCAAAAGGAGCCACTGAGTACCTCCAGGTCCGACCTGAAAGCAAGTCCCTAAACTCTGCAGGGGTTGAAAGTTCAATTAAAAACAGACCAAATCTGTGAGAGCCTCTTCCTTCTCTGGCAGTCTAAGACAGAAGAGGTTACAAGGCGCCATGGACATCAAACAAGCCCCGCTCCCTGACTCCCTTCCCGCAGATACCTATTCCAGGCCCTGACGTTCCGTGTGTTTCAGTGTTTGGGGAAGCAAGAAAATTGGTCTTATAAGCAAGGGCAATGGTGGAACAGAGCGAGATGAGGAGGAAGGCAGGTGCCAGATGAGGTAGGGGTCTGTGGATGGAATTTTATCACAGTGCAAAGGAAAAGGCAAGCAGCTCTGGGTGGGGCGCGATGGGGTGTGTCCTTATTTAGATTTTAAACCAGCATGCTGGCTGCTATGTGAAGAATGGCTTTGAAGTGTTCAAGCAGGAGAGAAACAATGGCCCCAGCCCTGGAGGACAATGGTAGAGTGGAGGAGAGTGCTGGCCTTGGAGAGAGGGAGCAGAGAACGGGCAGATATCGGGCATGGGGAGCTGACAGCTTCCATTGATGCCTGACAATGGGATGGCAGGGGGAGGGAGACAGCGGCCACCATCACTCAGCGCTGAAGCTCTGGGAAATGCAGGCACGGGCCTGGTGCCACCCCTACTGTGGTCAAAAATATTTCACTTAAAAATGGGGCGTGAAATGCAACGATGCACAAGACAGGAAGCGAACCTTAGTCATCTGGACGTCATTTGGGGGAGTTTACTATGTCCTCAGCGTTTTAGAAAACTGATTTTGGCTGAACTGTCTGAAAAGCTAATTCAGAAGATCAAATTTCGATGGAAATCAAAACCCACTGACTCCTCTAGAGGTCTGAGTGCCCTGGTTTAAAGAGAAAGTGGGCACCTATAGCCCTGACTCGCCACACTTAGAGCGGTCCAAAGGGAAAGACCAAGAGGGCAGAGAAGACAAGAAAAACCAAGACCCAAGCACGTCCAGGTGATATGCAGAGTCTTCACCGCCTCTCCCAGGTCCCTGGGCAAGGTCCTGGGCATCTCAGGACTTCACTCACTGTCTTGCCCTAGGAGTGGTCACTCAGATCTTGGTGGCTCTCAACTCTCACCTCAATCATTTAGCCCAAGTTTACAGGAACACCCAAGGCCTTTGGGGCTAAAGAAATCTAAATTTTAGCAGGTCCATCCAGCACTCTGCAGCACTGGCTATTCTGTGAAGAATGGCTGACCATTCTTAACCCTTAGTGTCTTAAGTGTAAATAGAAATAATTAACCCAAGAATTAGCATCAGAAATGACATTCACAAAGGGCCAGCTTGGGCTGGGGGGCTGGGGCAGAGGTGGGGGAAAGCTCCGGGTAAACAAGGGTTACTGTTATGTAAAAGGGACCTGGCCCATCAATGCTCCTTGGGCAGAGAGGTTCCTGTTTTCAGAAGAGAAGAGAAAGGCCGGAGAGGAGGACCCACATAAAAGGTGATGATTCCTTCCCAGCAAGTAACCGCCAAGTCAGAGAAATCGGTGAGAGGTAAGACACCTGCAGGACCTCACAAATGCAGAGGCAAAGAGCTCCAGGACAATTCTGGGCTTCAGAACGAGAAGCGAGAAGCACTGCCCAGAAACACACAAGACCCTAGGAAATCCTACCAGTTTTTTTTTTTTAATGTGATGATATACCTCAATTAAAGTAGTAGGGAGCAAAACTCTAGTCTCATCGAACAAAACAGCAAAACAAGTGCCTTGAATAATGTGCCACTTTATTTCTTTCAGGAGCCAGCAGCTGTGAGAGACCAGGCTTTCTGGGTTTCTTGGGTGATTCGGGGAAATTCCCAAGGCCTTTCTAAAGCTGATGACCCCTGGTCTTTATTATGTTTTATTTCACCCCCAATTTTATGGCTTCTCTTTTCTTTTATTATCAGCAAAACACTAGTGCTCTCATACTTAATAGCCATGTTTGGATCACTTATTTCACAAATGGGGGAGGGGGGGTTGTGATTTGGAAAAGAATAAGAACAGGAGAGAGGAAGGAGTTGTAAAACTTGTGCCCCATTAGAAAAGTCAGACTCAGAGACAGAATTCAGAATTCTGAAAACAGGTGAGTGCCCCCAAGTGTTCTTCTCCCTGCCTCCCCACCGACCCATGATTAACTGGTCATGCCAAAGACAGAAAAACCATGACAGGCCTGAGAACCAGCAGACAGCGGGGCTTGCTCTTCATGTGAAGAGAATATTACAGGTCAACTGCTCTTCTTCCCGTCTCTAAATGCCTCCCAATACTGCGCCTTTTTGTGGACATACTATTATCATCTTAGCACCAGCGTATATCCTACCTACTACGTAGCAGATGATACCACCTAACCTAGAACTAGAGAAACGACTTCTTAGTTTAAAGAGTACACATCTGAATACACTGAGATGATTTGGGAGAGAAATCTCCAAAGCCAGTAGGTCTGTTACACACCTCTGAAGACACGAGGAACACCAGCGGTGCCATGCCACAGAGAGACACTCTCCACTTTCTCAAAGGACGAGACCACAAATCAGTACCGTGCAGCCCTGCTTATTAAGCCGTCCACCAGGTCTTCCCAGGACATAGCGCGATGCCTTTTCAAAGGGCTGATGAGTCCATGACCTCTTAGCACCTGTACTGCAGCAAACCAGAACGCATGAAAGGAAAAGGAGAGAGAGGGCAAGAAGGAAAGTGCCTCCCATAGAGGGAGGCTGAGGGTAAGGAGTAGGGGACTGGGGAATGATGGTGATGAGGAAACCGAGGACATTGGTGATGGAAGATGTGCACTGGTGAGGGATGGGTGCCGGATCATTGTATGACTGAGACCCAATTATGAACAGCTTTGTAATGGTCTATCTCATGAATATACGATTTAAAAATTAAAAAAAAAAGTAATGTGGAGTTCATACCCAAATCAATCAGCTGAATAAATAACAGTACTCCTACATTTTTAAAAAAAAGGCTGGGGGAGAGGGGGCTGATGTGTGCAAAGCCAATCCTGCCAGAGGAAGAGCTGCGTGCAGCCAGAGAACTATTTCCCCAAGGAAATAGCCTGCTTAAACCCAAACCCATTATTACCAGTAAGAGAAAAAGTTTTGCCAAATAGCGAAAGCACTTCCCAGGGAGTCAAACACACATCATTCAGCCAGACCCAACTGGAGACAACGAGCAACAGGTCAGAACTTTGTCTATCACAAGAGAAAAAGCTACTCACAAGAGAAACAGTCCCTACTGCAACCATTTTTGGCCATGGTCATGTTAGTAAGTTTCTCTGTAGGACAGAGCTCTGCAAACTCAAACCAAATGCCAAATCAAATGCTCTAAATGCACTGAACTCTAAACATTCGATCTGACTGTGAAATCAGAACTAACGGAATGTCCAGGAGGCTGCCGGGAAACCTGGCCTGGTGGCTCAACTAGAATTGCTCAAAGAAGACAGGAAATGCCATGCTACAAAGGCCAATTCTTCTGAGGTGGACCATTTTGTCCACTGTATGCAAAAAATCTGAATTTTACAGTAGTACAGTATGGCCATAAAATAGCATTGCTAACCCACAGAAAACAGTATGCCTTCGTGCCTTTTCTCAGTAACAGACACTGAAAATCCAAACAAAAGTTGTCATGAGCAGAAGGAATGTGTTTCAGAAAGAAAGAGTCTGGAGGTAGGGCCCCTGGGGTTCTACTCAAACAATCAGACCCAGGAGTCTTGCAGATGTCCTTCCCGTTACCCTCTCTGCCCCAGTGTGGAACATGCAGCTCTCATTATCCGACGACTCTTTCCTTCCAACAAGATCAGGTGAAATTTAACATCACAGATAAGTGTCAAAACTGAAAAGAGGCGAGGGCCCGAGAGAGTAGAGGGAAGAGTGTATGCCAGGTGTGGCCCAAAAAACAAACTGGCACAGGCGCAACACTACGGCCAGGTAGGCAAGTACTTGCCTTGAACGTGACCAACCTGGATTCCATTCCTGACACCCTATATGGTCCCCTGAGCTCCACTAGGAATGATCCCTGACACAGAACCAGGAGTAAGCCCTGAGCACCGCCGGGTATGGCCAAAAATAAAACAACACCTGAAAAGAATCTCATCAAATACAGCATCCCAACTGAATCAATGCCCTTAATTTTAATAAGCTGCATTCAATGGCAACATATAATTTACATGGTCTCCAATCTCCAAAAAAAATTGGCAAGATGTCTTTCTATATGTTGAAATAACTTAGGAAGTTATTTCGTCTTGTTAAAAAAATAAGTTATGACATTCCAATTACTCTTTAAAGTTCACTTTAGTAGAATATTTAACTGATGAATTCTTCAGAAGCAACAAGTCCTCCGAAATGATTAAACGAGTCTTTGTTCTGTGAGAATTCCCTGTTACACCTTTACGAAGCCATATCTGCAGCAAGACAGAAACTCAACCCAAGTTAATTTAAGAACTTACCAATTTCCCTTGCGATTCTGACAGCTTCATCTGCATCCTGTAAAAGCAGGAAATGAGACCCAACATTAATCCCATCGGCCAGCGCACAATGTCTTCAGGGCGGTCATATATTGCACTACTGTCTCCTCTGATTCAGTTAATGCTCAATTTTACAACCTTCTAACTCTTTTCATTCTGAGAAATGTAAAATTAATACCATAAGTGGAATGTAAATTCTACCTCATCATTATTATATTAAGAAGCTCAAAGCAGTCTGGAATGAGCTTGACAGGAAGCATGACCAGAACTGCCAAATGATCGGGTGCAGTGGCTGAGATTTAATGGCAGAATTTGGATGTTTACAATCAGTACCGAATCATAAACCGGGCCATTAAAGCTTGCCCACAGCCGGCTGGTTGCTCTCTGCAGCGCTTGGGCGCCTGTTTTCCAGGATCCCGTCGGCAGAGGGAGCGGGTTCGCTATTGTCTGGGTCGGGAGCACAATAGGCTCTTGGAAATTTTCTTAAAAGTAAATTTCCAGTACCTTGAAGGAATTGCCCGCGGCCGTCCCACCACCCCTCCCCCAGCCAAATTTCTCTTCTTAAAGTCCAGCGCTGTTCCTGTCCCCCTTTCTCCCCATCCTTTTTTCTGGGTACCGATTTCATTTTTTTCCAGCTACATTTGCTACCTAAATTCAACGAAGCAACTAGTGGGGGCTGGGAGAAGCACTTCCAACACGACAAGGATGAAAACGCTTTTCCAAAGAGTTTTTGAATTGCAAAGGTTCATTACTGCTAAACACCAACAAATGCCATTGGTACTTTGAAGAATCAGAAAGGACAAAAATCTCCCTTGGATTAAAACCCTTTAATTGATCATTAGCTCTCACCGAACATTTCCCCCACATAACAATAAAGAAAAAAGCTAAAAAGGTGTTAAATCCAAAGCCTCTTTCTGAATTTAATTTTTATGATCCAGTGACAAATGAAAACCATTACAAGGAACAACAATAATATTTTGAAACAGCTAGCTCACAAGAATGACTGAACCTTTAGAAAATAAGTTTAGAATATTAATGTAAAATGTTCAACGTTTTAAGCACATACTTTAAAAACATAGAGTAACCATGCTCAAATCTTCCCCTTCCAAAAAAAGAGAAAAAAAAGTGGTGGGGTAGGTAAGGGAGCTGGGGATGTTTGTAACTGGTTCATTTATGTCTAATAAAAAAAAATCTTCCTTAAAAGTCTTCAGTTCCTAATAACATCCCCTGAATAAGGAGCTTGGCAGGGGAAGTTGTCAGAAAAATTTAATTTCCTTTCATTAGCCAGTCTGCTCCACAAATAGGCGCTTGTTAAGTTCAAAGCAGGCCTGAGAGCGACATCAGTTTTAAGTCTTTTTTTTTAACTCCAAGCAGTCACATCTGCTAATGAGATTTTCCAAATAACAATTGTTTTTCAAGTCAGAGATAAATCTATACCCTCTAGCCTCCCTCCCCCCAACCCCGGGCGGGGGTGGGGGGGGGTGGGGGGTTGAAGAAAAAGAACGGTGACTACTTTATCATATCTTGCTATTTTCATTGACCCTACATCTCCAAAATTGAGTTTCGAAGGATTAAAATCCATGGAAAGGGCCATTTCAGAAGGTGAGTGGTTTCCTCACTGAGCTGGAAGGGCCTTTGTGAGCCAGTGACAGTTATGGGAGAATACTTCCCCTTAATCACCTCCCTCAGGAAGTGTTAAACCTGCCAAACGCCCGGGACCATTAAGGCCTCCACAGCCGGGGCAGGGTGGGTCTGGGCCGCGGGAGAGGAAACCCAACGCGCGTCTCTTCATTCAAACGGGGAGTAATACATTTGCCAGAGAGACTGTGAGAGAAAATAAAATTCTGCCTATGAGGTCCACTCACTGCCTGGGAAGAAGGAACAGGCTGAATGTGGAAAGAGAACTCCAAGAAATTATTATTATTTTTTTTTTGTCCTGGGTTTCTCTGGTCTCACGTTGCCGACGGGTGTGTGCTAGAGAGGTAAGTACTTCCACCCAGGGAGGCTTCCCAAACACTCTTTAGCGGCCCCTTGTCCAGTACCTCTGTACACCGCCACAAAACTAGCTTGCCCTCTGAGTGGTCAGTAAGCTCAAGTCTTCCTTCGGTAAAAAGCAAACTCTGTTAGAGGGAACTTCCACGTCGTGTCTAACTGCCTGAAACATGACATGCTCACTTCTCCTTCGTTCACTCCAAAATATTTCCACGCGGGCCTGTAAAGCACTGGACAGCAGAGAGCTCCTCGAATAATCAGCTCCAATGCCAAACCATCAAGCACATCCATTATCAAGCTCCGAAAGCTACTTCCGGAGAGATCAAAAGCCAAGAGCAGCTCTAAGTCTGGGGAACTGGGCACGTGGCAGCCGACTTCCCTGGAAGACCAAGGTGGAAGAAACACTAAGGCCTTGAGTGGACAAGGAAAAGACGGCCAGTCGCGGGGGGTAAAGAGGCTTCCGGCAAAAGCAACCCCACCGGCACTGGGGCTCAGCTGGGCTGGCATGAGGGGAGCCCTAGGGTCCTCTGCCCTGCCCCCCCACACACACACACAGAGACACACAGAGACCCCAGAGGGGGAGACAGAAACCAGGCTGGGCTTGCTCCCAGCCAGGCCCTCTTTCCTCTGCCCGGGACTACTGCAGCCAGGAGCGGGGGCACCGGGCAATTGTGGAGCCATCTCTGTTCACAGACCTTGGGATGTCAACCTGCTAGGGGCCTGCCAGGAGCGGCCCTGGGGTGCAGGGCCAGGAGGCAGCCCGGGGCACTGCTGACTGGGGTCCGTAAACAGAAGAATGAGAACTAAGGGAATCAGTCCCAGAGACCTCCAAGTGCTGACCACGGTTCCTGCCCAGGAGCTCAGAGCGCCAGGGTCATGAGCTCAAACCCTGCCAACACCCCCTGCCATGCCCAGTCCAGATGGCCCCACCCCCTGTGACCCGGGAACTCTGTGGCAAGGGAGCACACATGTGTGACAGTAAGCCATGCCACTGCAAATGCCAAGTGGGGAGTGGGGGGCACCAGGGGAACTGGTCACTTGAAAGGGTCATTTCAGATCCCCCCCACCAACGAGGGATACAGCCACAACAGTGAGGGTGGGAGAGCTCAGCGAGCAGTGCCAAGGGCTGAACCCATGACAGGACAGCAGGGACCTCCCTCACGGCTGTGTGGTCAGGCCAGAGCCTAAGGAAGCCACGGGACAGGGGACAGGGCAGCAGCCCCAGCAAGAAACACAGGGGACAGGGCCCCAGCTGCAGATTCCAGATCAGGAAGATGTACACTGGCCAGGGCAGGTGTAGGGATGGGCCCAGTCACCGCACAGGACAGAGAGTAGTAACACGGGCCCAGTCACTGCACGGGGACAGAGAGTAGTAACATGACCTCACCACAGTGCCTTGGAGTGAGCAGCTGGGAGTGGACAGAGCAAGGACAGCACGAGCTGGACGGGGCATGGATAGGAGGAATGATGTCGTACACAGGGGAAGGACAGGACTGGACACTGGGGTCAGAACCAGCCCCATCTCCCCATCTGCTTGCACTGTACAAGAAACTCTTAACTATTAATCATCTGAGTATTGGGGGGTGAGGGGTTGTTTACTGTGTTTTGGAGCCACTGTACAATAAACTCTAACTGCTTAAACAACGGAGTATTGGGGGTGAGGGGTTGTTTGTTTTGTTTGGGTGCCACACCTGGCAATGCTCAAGGTTGTTCCTGGCTCTGCGCTCTGGGATGCTGGGATGGATCCCGGGTCAGCTGCATGCAAGGCAAACAACACCCTCCCCACTGTCCTACCGCTCTGGCCCCCAAGCATCTAAGTTTCGTCTGCAAATCTTTCGTACAATTCTCCACAGCCCAGAGCTCAGTGATCAGTCAGCTTCTGGGCCAACTCACTCAGCACAACAAGAGGGTGAGCACTGGGCGGCACCACAGCCAGCTGTGTGCCCAGGACAGGGGAGCCACACCCATAAGACGAGGCCCTGCCCACCTGGAACACCAGGACAAAGATGAAGGGAAGCAGATAAAAGACAACCACTTAAATTCGATGAATAAAATAGCAGCGGGGGGGGGGGGGGGGGGGGGGGGCTGGAGCGATAGCACAGTGGGTAGGGCGTTTGCCTTGCACACGGCTGACCCAGGTTCGATTCCCAGCATCTCATATGTCCCCCGAGCACCGCCAGGAGTAATTCCTGAGTAGTATGAGACAGGAGTAACCCCTGTGCATCGCCAGGTGTGACCCAAAAAGCAAAAAAATAAATAAATAAAATGGCAGCGGGGCTGGGGCGATGGTTTTCAGGCAGACTTGGATTTCATCCTGGCACTGCCACGAGCCACACCAGGAACCCAGCAAGGCCGAGGTCCCTGGGCACCAAAATCAAAACAAAAATTTGTTTAAATCAAATAAAATGAAAGCGTGTGGTGAAATAGCACCATATCACCTTCGTATTTCATTTCAAATACTCAAACCGAAAAGGTACAAAAGCGTTTTGAGAAGCTGTCACTGAAATGACCTCAAGGTGGAGGTGAAAAGTAGTTAGGAGGAAGGAAAGTGGTACAGGAAGTTGTCAGGGAAAAAAAAGAGTTTTGTTTTTTATTTTTATTTATCTCCTTTTTGGGTCACACCCAGTGATGCTCAGGGGTTATTCCTGGCTCTGCACTCAGGAATTACTCCTGACAGTCCTTGGGGGACCATATGGGATGCCAGGAATCGAACCCAGGTAGGCTGCGTGCAAGGCAAACGCCCTACCCACTGTGCTATGGCTCCGGCCCTGTTTTGGATTTTTAAAATACAAAGTAGGAAAAGGGAAGGAAAACTCCCAGCTTAGTATAGGTGTAAGTTCAAGGGGGAAAAAAAAATCACTGTATCACTGTCATCCTGTTGTTCGATTTCCTTGAGCAGGCACCAGCAATGTCTCCTTCGTCCTAGTCCTGAGATTTTAGAAAGTGCCACATTCGAGGCTCTTTCAGGGTCAGGAGAATGAGACCCATCATTGTTACTAGTTTTTGGCATATTGAATACGCCATGGG